CAATAATTGTTTACCCAAAAATCCCTAAGTGGTAAACACCACCTTGGCCTTTTGGTCATTATTAAAGGCAATAAGTGGCCTTTTTAGCCATCCATTATGATCCATATACTGTTATTGTTAGTAGGCTAATTTCAACATGAAAAATAACCTTCAAAAAATACTAAAAAGGTGAAAATATATTAAAAAATTAAATAAATCAAAAAAATCATAAAAAAACATTGATTTTTGATTAAAAAATCAAACAAATCACCAACCCTGATATAACTTGATAAAATTGCAAATAAAATGGTTGTATTAATTTGGAAAGTGTGAAAATGTGCTGGTCAAGTGCATATAAGGAGCATGGACAGGTGGAGATGAGCAGATGTAACTGCAAACAGAAAGAACAATAAAAATGCAAATCATGAATGACTGATAACCTGATGGGATGTAGAATGCAAACAAAGCAAGAACCATTAAACTCCATAAAACTAGTAAAAGCTCATCTCCATATTGAGAATTTATTTTTAAAACTAACGAGTACTCGCATGAGGATTGAATTGAAAAGAATCACAAGGGGACAGATAAATAAAGGAACACTGCCTGATGAATTGAGAACATGAACTTACTGGAATTAAATATAATCATAATCCAATATAATAAATTAACTTCTTCAAACTGAACCATATCAGTCAGATATGAACACAAACAAAGTGAAATGCAAGGGAACACAAGAAGTTGATATCAATGAAATTAGCAAAATAACAAGGACAACTTAACCTAAATTATCAATGAATAAATGATATAAATTTCTATGACAACACCAGTGCAACTGAGTGCCCAGGGTGAGGTACTGAGTAGAAATACTTAAGAGTGATAATTCAAGTTTGCAAATTACATTTTAGTCATCTACTCTGAAAAAATGAAAATATTGAATATAATTTAAATTGAGTTGGATTGAGCACTGAATAAATATGATAATTAATAAAGAAAGACATGAAGGTTGGGCTACACAGTAGCCTAATTCAACCTCCGGTAACAGTGTGTCTGGGTAATTGGGTTTCTGAAGTCTATGGCTGGTGCTGGTGCCGAAAGTACATCATTCTTAGGTAGATTGTCTATGTAGTTAGTTGTGATTGTAGTGTGTATTTGTTTCTTGTGTCTGTTTAGTGTTTCTGTTGTGGCTTGGTCTGGTTCTATGAGTATGTTAGTGGTGTAGTTTCTGTTTGTGAAAATTGTTTGTTTCATAAGTCTGGGTGGGTTGTAAGGTTGAGTACGAGTGTGAAGTGGGTGGGTCGGTGCTTGAGCTTTTAGTCTGAGTTGGGATGCATGGAGTCTGAGGTGCTGGTCTATTGGCAGCGTTTTTGTTTCTGTGTGTAGGTGGCTTTGGTTAGTATCAGCTGTACAGCCTGTTGCAATGTGGAGTGCTGTGTTTTGGATTGTTTGTAGTTTGTTTGTGTGAGTTTGTGCTAGGCTGGGGGACCAGATGGTGCTGCTGTATTCTATTATAGGTTGTGTTATAGTTTTGTAGGTGGTGAGTAGGACTTTTTTGTTTTCCCCAGTTTGTTGATGTGAGAGATTTTAGAATTTTTATTGTTTTAGTTGCTTTGTCATGTGTATAATGGATGTGGGTATTGAAGTTTAGTTTTGGGTTGAATGTGATTCCTAGTATTTTTGGGTGTGTGATGGTGGGAACTGTGGTATTGTCTATGGTAAGGTTTAGTATTTTCCTGTATTTAGCAGGGTCATGTGTGAAAAGTGTGGCTGTACTTTTGGATGCATTTAGGTGGAGGTTATTTCTGATAGTCCAGTCGTGTATCTGTTGTAGGAATGGTTGTATGCGTTGCTCTGCAATTTTGTAATTGTGGTGTGATGAGAATTTAACTCCTAAATCCTTTTCCGTTGTCGACTTCGACATCATCACTCTGTCGTTGCAACCGTGTCTTCTCATCCTGTAATCTTGCTGTTCATTATTCTTGCCAAGGTGGATAACTTTACATTTGTCAGCGTTAAAACGCAGCTGCCACCTATCAGCCCAATCAACCAGCCTGTCAAGATCAACTTGCAACTGTACTTTTTGCGACGTATTCTTCACTGTATTATAAATTTTCGTGTCGTCAGCATACATCGAGCAAACGCTAGACACAGCTTCTGGCAGATCGTTATAAACGCAACGAATAGAATAGGCCCGAGAACGCCTCCTTGTGGCACGCTGCTGCGCACTGAACCTGAAGCCCAGTCTGATACGGACCCATTTTGCTGTATGTAAGAGTAAATTTTATACTTTAACGGCCCCAGCAACAGTTTATTCCACTTATGTAGAAACGCTCAACCTTTACAAATTAAAAACCGTGATATGGAAACGAAGGAAAGTTTTTGAAATTGCTAGAAAACTGTGCATGCTTAATTTTGTTCATTATAATCCGTGTTTATGCCTTAATAAGCCTATTTTGTTTACTCGAAAATTCAGTGACTTGCTGCTTGTGTGAACATTTCAGAAATAAAATCACCTAAATCCTTCAAATCTATTAATTTTAATTGTGAGGTCAATCTTAATGCCGTTATTTGTTCTCTTAAATTTTATTTCATGATTCAGTTGTGAGGCGGACCTAACGACAAGGATGCTAACTAAGAAGTTCGTCTTCGGAGTGGCCAAAGGCTGCTGGGTGGTTAGCATCCAGTGGGTGAAGAGATGCCTGGAAGAGAGGTGCCTGCTACCTGAGGTGGCAGCATCTGTTCCTGTTTCACTTATATCAGCTCCATGCTATATTTGTCCCTTAAGTGAATAATTAGTTGTTACTCTTCACTTTAATTTTTTTAATACGCGCATTTACCACTGTTAGGATAGGATTTAGTTACTCTTTATTTAGCGCTGGACGAGATAGGCTACTAATATGTTCCTCTGTAAAGGAATTCTTGAGCACTACCACAACCGTAGTCCAGAGAAGCTGGAAAATTCCAATTACGGTCCAGGGTTAGCTCAGCCAAGGAATCTACCACAACCAGACCTCGCCACGGGATGCAAATCGAAACACGCGAAACTTACTTAACATTTAATAAACAATAGAAATAAAGCATGAAAGGTAAAGGAGGGCAGGTTACAGGTGCCCTTGAACAGCGTGAGTAAGATTGCCGGGGTATCACGGTTCCACCAGGATGCACAGTTCCACCAAGACGCAAGGTTCCACCAAGATGCAAGGTTCCACCAAGATGCAAGGTCCCACCAAGATGCAAGGTCCCACCAAGATGCAAGGTTCCACCAAGATGCAAGGTTCCACCAAGATGCAAGGTTCCACCAAGATGCAAGGTTCCACCAAGATGCAAGTGGTGCAGCTGAGTCCCAAGCTTAAGGCGCCAAGGCAGGAATATGAGGACGAGGATGCGGATGTGGATATGGGCACGAATAAGGAGAAGGAGCCAGTACGTGTTACTCCGTATTAAAATCACTTGTTTGCTTGAATCGCAAGTTAACCAGGAATTTAAAAGCAAAGAAAATACCACAAAAATTCACCATATCTTTATAAGAGAAAACGTTTCGGAGTCCAGCTCCATCGTCAGTTCAACACAAAATTCTGTTCAGAAAAAGTTCAGTCCTAGAAACACAAAGAAATCAATTAGTAAAGTAAAATGCACTAAAAATAAATAGATAAGACATGAAAATAATGCTAGTAAACGTAAACGGCCTATCTATTTACTATTTCAAGAGGAAAGGAGCTAAAAGCGGCATTCAGACTAGGCTTCTGTTTGAATATATACAGGGATTCTAAAATTCGTAGATCACTAACACCGGATGCGGAAGCTAGAATTTTGAAATCACTATCAGATACAGAGGTGTTGCACTGCTCGGCATGAACACGTACAGCAGAATGAGGTGGATGTGCAAGTAGGTTCCCTGTTCTATAACTCCTGCCCTTATGCTCAGCCAGCCTAGTATAGAAATTGCGTGCCGTCATACCGACGTACGCTGATGCGCACTGCGCACAACTATATCTGTAAACTAGTGACGATCGCATAAGAACAGGTAGGGCTGTCTCTTATACACATCTAGATGTGTATAAGAGACAGGTGTGAGGTGACGTGTGGTGTGTGAGGTGACGTATGTTGACGTGTGGTGTGTGAGGTGACGTATGGTGACGTGTGGTGTTTGGTGTGACGTGTGGTGTGTGAGGTGACGTGTGGTGTGTGAGGGGACGTATGTTGACGTGTGGTGTGTGAGGTGACATATGTTGACGTGTGATGTGTGAGGTGACGTATGTTGACGTGTGGTGTGTGGTGAAGTTTGTTGCTATAGATGTAGCATTTGCGTACAGTTTATGTTGGCAGCTACTATTGTGCCCTCACCTCTGACTGAACCACAAAGGACAAGACACTTAGTAGCATACCCGTTCAACTCTATCCTGCTATTTAAATACCTGTTGTTGAATGATTTTCTCGTGACCTTATTGTGTTGCTCTCACAGAGAACTGAGGCGCGGCAGGGGGAAGCGGCCAGTGAACCTCTTGTGTTCGGAGGAGCTGTCGGATGACGAGAAAAATCGAGTTCGTGAGCTAGTACTCCTCTTATGCAACCCCGACACCAGTGGCGACAACAGACGGCCAAGAGGCGAAATGATAGAACAGTGGACGCCTAACTCACCTGTCGTCACTCATGTAATCGCCCAGTGAGTGGAACTAGACCACCTGTCATTGATAGGCTTTCGTTGTTTGTAATAGTAAATTTTACACTTCAACGGCCCCACCAACAGTTTATTGCACTTATGTAGAAACGCTCAACCTTTACAAATTAAAACCATGATATGGAAACGAAAGAAAGTAATTTTGGTAATTTTTCCATATCATGGTAAAAACCATGATATGGAGTTAATTTTGTTCATTATAATCCGTGTTTGTGCCTTAATAAGCCTATTTTGTTGACTCGAAAATTCAGTGACAGGCTGCTTGTGTGAAACTTTTTGGAAATCTATTAATTTTAATTGTGAGGTCAATCTTCATGCCGTTATTTGTTCTCTTAAATTTTATTCCGTGATTCAGTTGTACGGCGGACAGAGAGCTGCTTCCGCCAACCAAGAATGTGGCCATCGGAGTGGCAACTGGTGCCTGGGTGGTGACCATGAAGTGGGTCACCACGTGCCTAGAGAAGAGGTGCCTGCTACATGAGGTGACAGCATCTGTTCCTGTTTCACTTATATCAGCTCCATGCTATATTTGTCCTCAAGTGAATAATTAGTTCTAAGTTGTTACTCTTAACTTTAATTTTTTTAATACGCCCATTTACCACTGTTAGGATAGGATTAGTTGCTCTTTATTTAGCGCTGGACGAGATAGGCTACTAATATGTTCCTCATTCCTCATCAATGAGGAACATATTCCTCATTGGAATCAACATAATTCATGTCCATTCCACTTCTTTTAATTAATTTTATTTATGATATTAAAGACTGAGTACGAGGCTCGCGATGCAACGGGGCGCAAGGGCCCTAATCTCGCACGACGGGCGCAGAACCACCGAACCTCTCTGCTGCACGATTTCGTCTTCTCCCGCATGGATAATGAATACTTGTCCGAAGATGAAATGCGGGTGGGTTGTGTGTGTTTTCATTGCCCATCCTAGTATTGGCAACTTGGGAAGATAATGGGTGATTGTAAGCACCATATGTGGGTCGTCCGCACCTATGCTGGAGCTCATCTCATTCATAAAACAATAGTATGTGCCATTCACTAGGATAATTGCCAAATCTATGTTCATGTTGTGGTTGCAGCATCTGGTGCGACTGTCTGGAGGGCAGATTGAAAAATTTCCACCTTTAGCGTCGGCCCAACCGAATCGACACTTTAGCAAACTCAAGCGCGAACCCAAGCGCGAGCTCAAGAGGCAAACCTAACTGTCGGCCCAGAACAAGCTGCAGCTGATATTATGCGGCGACGAAGGAGACGCGGAAGGTCAGACGCACGTCAATGGAATTTCATTTTTCTGCACATTTTTGTAACTTCGAGATACTGCCACTTTGTCCACAAGATTTAATTCGATATTTAGGCATATTTTAGTACCTGAATCCTCTTGAGTCTTTTTAATTCTTGATTTCAGCTGAGTGGCGTCGTACGGGAGTACCCGTAGTGCACTACGTGTGGCTTTTGGCCACAATCACAGCCCAAACCATACTGGACATCAAGAGATTTATTGTGGCACCGGAACTGACTTTTCCCCACTCCAGAGTTGCAGGGTTTCCCTGGCAGCTCCTTCCGGAGTAAGTTTCTATTATATAAATCATCTCTTGTCATGGACATGGACGAAAAAGTCCATCTAGTTCTAGACCTGGTGTTTAATAGTGATCCATCAATTTATGTTAGATACAATCGGGTGACATGATATAACTAACATCAATATTATTCTAACAATATAAATAACCCCTGGTCTTTACCCACATTGCAGGGGTCTGAAATAACTTGTCTTTACCTACATTACAGCCTGCCAGGAATGAATCAGCTGGCGGCGTATATGCATCGTCTCCCCGCAGCTACGCATCGTGCCGCCGATTCAGGTGATCAGGATTGCGATTCAGGAAAACGCAATCAGGAGGTGCAGGCCCGGGTATCCGTCTGGACCGATCTACACGCAGACGACAAGACACGCATAAGAATGCCCAATATGAGTGAGTAGAAGTTGATTTTGAATTAGCGTGTTATTTCTGCAATTGAAAACAAAAGCATTGCAGTTAGTATTATTAAAGCTTTATTCAATGCGATCTTCTGTGACAAAGCTTGTTCTATAATGAATGTTGATGGGTTTTCAACCATGTTTCTGTACATCCTAGTGACTGTTCTCTTTGTCGTGACATTCCTCATTCCCGGTGTACGTCATTTGAGCACCAACTTTTTAATTGCGTATGCAAATCTTAATTGGAGCCCTTAGGTTAAACTCTCAGTATTTGAACCCTTCTCCTATGTTTGCATTGACGTTTTCACATCAATTTTGTTGCTATAGATGCTGCATTTGGATTTTCTCGTGACCCATTACTTGCAGACGCTACATTTGTAAATATTGTGTTGCTCTCACAGAGAGCGGAGGCCCCAGACGTTGGTGCGCACGCAGCTGACGGTGGACGAGACGCGCACGGCCTTCTCGCTCCTCCAAAAATTATGCTCGAGCTCCATAGTTGGGTCATCCATGGGAAGCGTCGGAAGTTTTCATGGTAATTAAATTTTCATCCAAGGAGTAAGTTAAGTGGTGAGACCAGGCTCAAGAATTTAGGTGAACTGGACATCAAAATTGTAATCTTCAGAATTAGATCCAGGTAAGGGTCAGGATTGGCTGCAGGCGTCACAGGAACGGCGAAGTTCATACTGTTGACGAAATTAAACAAGATTATAAAATGTGTAGATCGCAGGTAAGATTATCTCTCTCTCTCTCTCTCTTTCTCCCTCTCTCTCTCTCTCTTTCTCCCTCTCTCTCTCTCTCTTTCTCCCTCTCTCTCTCTCCTTTCTAGCTCTCTCTCTCTATATATATGTATATATATCGAAAACATGCACACTAACAAATGTGCAGACAGTATGTATTAAAAAAAAGTATTGTTTTTCATTTTTCAGGACCTGAGCCGTAGCGAAAACCACGACATCTGAAGCCTCACAATTGTCCTCAATGTTAGTTCAATTGCAGCAGTTAATGGAGTTCCTTTAAAACTACGACCTCACAAGTGACAGATGTGTCAGCGCGGGTTTCACAAAAACGTTCAACTACAACAGCACATGAAATCGGTGCATATAGATCTTTATTCATTTGACTCGTTGAAAAACGCAAATTTTTGTTAGGTTAATAAATTGTTGCTTGTCACCGAGTTCTCATTCACAAATAAACAATAGAAATTTGAACTACAGTTACACGGGAGTCGGAGGTTGCAGTCATTGATCAGAAGACAGAACTCTGAATCGTAAAATGTTTCCTGTTATTGAAGTAGAACAAGGGTGAAAATTAAATTAGTTATTCAATATCTAATTTGCTGTATAGAAAAGGAAATGTAAATATTGAGCACAATATTGCTCATTTTTAAATAAATTAGGACCTGCGTAAATACATTTAAATCGGTTCCCAGCGTCCTACGGAATAAATTTTCCTAGTATTATCACGCGGCTATTAAAATTATATTATATTACCATCGGCAGTTTCTGAGGTTCAGAGAAATAAATCTATTAAGCTGAACTTCCTCCCCTCTATTGGATCTATTGAGTCGGAAATTTTTTTAGCATGCAAGATTACAATCGGCGAGGTGGCAGAGTTGTTAGGACCACCAAGATTGGAACAGTGAGTTGCGTGTTCGTGACATGGAGAGCTGTGACAATTCCGTGGAGTTCAGAACCTGCAACAGGCCAAGGTCCGTAAGTTCCTAGACATTTTAAGACTGAACATATGCCCATGGCCTGTTGCCGATTCTTGTACTTGCCTCTATCTCCGATCTATCAGCCTCTACTTCACTCATTTCAGCGTTACAGTTCTGGCACTGAAGCCGTCGTATCCAAAATAATTAAGTTTGTAACTTCGTACGCAATAGCAGACGGCTTTAAGTTCAGCCTTCCAATCACAGACGAGGAATTGGTCGCTACGTGTACTTAGGTCGCTACGTGTATCTCCTTAGGCCGCAACGTGTACCTACTTAGGCCGCTACATGTACCACCTACTCAAGCCACTTCGTGTACCTCCTTTGGCCACTACGTATACTGAAGACCGAGTTTTGAAAGTACTGCCCACCATGACAGATCAGGACTCCGGCAAAAATTTTACCTCATTCGTGACCTCGCCTGCCGTGACCGCCGTCCAGTTCCCGGCAACGCGCTACTGGCAGAGGAAGAAGTTCATTGCGTCCGCTCGGTAACCTAACATCGCTATAACAGCGCCATATTTGAAGACCATAGCACGACTGCTGCATGCTACATATCCTACAACACCACTGATAGCACTTTCAACATCACTGACAACGCCATCTTCAACATCACTGACACCACCTTCAACATCACTGACAACACCACCTTCAACATCAATGACAACATCACTGACAACACCACCTTCCAATGCGTATGGGGAAAAAAACATTCATTAACCAAAGAGATTCTTTACAATGTAATTTAAGCCGATTCAATTCAGATAAATACACATCCGATAAGGCTGTACAATGTACAAAGCATAGCTATTCTTAAACTATGTTAACCCATGTACAAAAAAACTAATATTGAAGAACATAACTAAAAATATTCAACATTTATATTTCCACGAAAATATTAGTTGATCACAATTCGGTGAAATGGATTGCAGCCGCGGCCGGTCACCTCTTATAGAGATGGGAATAACGTGTAAAATAAAGAGAAGCAGGGGACAAACATAATTAAATGACCACAACGTCGGGACCAGACTCGTCCCCCGACATGACCCGAACGTCAGAATCCTCGTCGCTCGGTGACGTGCTTGACAAAGACGTGGTATCGGACTCGACGGTTCGCTTGTTCAATACCCGACGTCGGTTCTTACGGATCTTCACACGGGCCAAAAGAGGAGTCTCGTCGTCGCTGAGGATTTGAAAGACCTGTTGTGGTCTGACGTCACCTACGTCTTCATCGTCTTTGCTGAGTGCAGGATTATCGTCCACTTGTCCTGTCTTATCTCCTGCTGGTGCTGGAGGATTCTCTTCATTCGGGACATTGTGCTCGGTACTCAACGGATCTTCCAACGTTTCTGGTACAACTTCTGGAATGTCACCCACGCTTCCTGCAGGATTTTTTGGTGTAGACAAAGGATCGTCCGCGGCGTCAGAATCCGAGAGGTCATACACAGGCTGGGCACTGTCCAGGTTCTGAAGAGGGGCTGTTGGTCCCCCTTGGAGGCGGGGCCGCTTCTCTGCTAAAGAGGCCCCGTCCATACGTTTTCTCTTACCTCCAAGAGACTGACGGTTATCGCCTGAGATACGTTGATCGCGGTTCTGGTTCACGTTATTCTCAGGCTGACTTTTATCATTGTTACCTTGGAGTTTCTCGTTTGTTTCTCTTGCCTTGCTTGCCAGGCCGAGCTGAGTATTTCTTTTCTCAGCCAAGGCACGAGCTTTCATCCGAGATTGTTTCGCAAAGGCCCTTGCACGGGACGCCGAGTCTTTCAGCTTTCCTTGAACTTGATTCAAGCGAATCTTAATCAAGGAAGTCATTTGCTCTACAGATATATTTTCATTTGAAAATTTATATTTCCTGTTCTCGTAGTGTTGTTGTTGAGGAGGCAGTGGTGCAGGGTTATCGGATGTTGACGTGCTAGGGTGCGACGCGGTATTGTAGGGCCCTCGGACCGCGGGGTCTCCCACGGTCCGTATCCACGGTCTTACGAGTTGACCTCGCGATGTTACAATGAAAGGAGATGAAGTAGAAGTCGGTGCGCCGTGCTGGGGGAACGTGGAGAGTTGTGAAGGAGCATATGGTCGTAGGTTCGCCAGCGTTTGGCTGGTCCCAACATGCTGTCGGGATCCAGCAGATTGCACGACCTGAATTTCATCGAAGTTTTGGCCAGCATATGGGACGCCCTGTAGAATAGAACTGTTGGGGCTGATTTGGCACTCAGAGCGAAGGACTTTGGTGGGAGCAGTTCGGTAGGGCGGGAGAATCGAGGGCAGTGGGAGAGGAGGGATGGGTAACACACTAAGTTCTTTAGTGCCAGAAATTTTCCCCATTTGGGTGGGAAGAAGAGGCACCAAAGCTGGGCTGGAGAGGCCGTAGACAGTTTTGTTATTGAATCCTCCTGATCTGTTGCCCTCAGGCCCGGTACCTGGCATCTCTGAATGGAATAATGTGTGGACATTACCAAAGGCAATTGTGTCCATGCCTGAACCAAACGCGACTATTGTGTCCTTGTTCATGTTTTGTCGGGATGATGAGTCGTTCTCAGTCGCACTCAAGTTCGATGTTCCCGCGTTACCAGGTCCCATCAGAACCCTCACCATGCTGGGCATTGACTCAGAGCGTTTCAAAAGAATGAGATTACAGCAAATATCTAACAACATATGCTGCTTTATCGACACAGGTATAGCCTTGTATGCTGTGAATGTCCTTGGCGCCACAGGTTCTGGTTGCTGGGATGTCCTTGCCTCAACGGGTTCTGTTTGTTGGGATGTCCTTGCCTCAACAGGTTCTGATGGTTCGGAGGTATTTTCAGGAGTCGAGGAGGATGGAAGGATCTCCACGGACGAAGTGCTGTCATTGAGAGCAGGAGTCTGAGTCGTCATAGGATCACAAGATCCTTCTGCATTCGAGCGCGAGGAAGGAGGAATTGTTGTGTCCTTCACAAGATCATCGCCCCGATCGATAGTTTCGGCAGAAGCTCGGCCATCACGAGTCTCCCCAGTAGCAGAGATAGGACCAGCGTCGGGATTTGGCAAGACCTCTGTGGAATTTGTGACCACATCCTGCGCATTGATGTCGACAGCTACGGGCTCCAAAGGAGACATGCTATTCTCAGCTTCATTACTCGTCTCTGCTTTGCTAAGTACACATGAACTATATTCCAGATAATCTATAACATTGTACTTCTCAGCAAATTTCAAGATCTTGAGAACAATGGCTTCTTTCATGGCCTCATTCTTTTCGATGACATCTTTTAGGCTCTGCAGGTTCCTACGTTGAAGATCTACAGCAGCTCGTGCTTCTCGGAGCTCCTTAGCAGTTACCATTGTATTTACCTCTGTATTATCATCCATCTGGGACGGCCATGAGCCGCGAATATTGACTTGTTGCAATAATTTATTTCGATTTGATGCATCCGCAGCTTCCCCTAACAGAGTATCAAGATAGAGTTGCTTGTCGAACAGTTTGGCCTCCACCTGAGTTTTCATTGTATTTTTGTCAAGTAATGACGACACCAGGATTCCATACTTAGTTTCCAGTCTCTGACTCTGCTGCACAAAAAACGAGCGATCTCGCACTTTTCTAAGTTTAAGAATTGCGTCAAAAGCCAAGCGCTCTGCGGGAGTGCGGTTGGGGATACGTACATTGCTAAGGCGGAAGAAGGCCTCCCGTGGGTCTTCCTTTGAAGTTCCTGTACGAGAAGGAGCATCAATGCTGCCTTCAGTTGCCCGTGGGTCTTCCTTTGAAGTTCCAGCTTGGGATGAAGCATCAATGCTGCCTTCACCAGCCTTTGGGCCTTCCTCCGAAGTCTCTGCCTGGGAAGGAGCATCAATGCTGCCTTCACCAGCCCGTGGGTATTCCTTTGAAGTTCCAGCTTGGGATGAAGCATCAATGCTGCCTTCACCAGCCCTTGGGCCTTCCTCCAAAGTCTCTGCTTGGGAAGGAGCATCAATGCTGCCTTCACCAGCCCGTGGGTCTTCCTTTGAAGTTCCTGCTTTGGAAGTAGCATCAGTGCTGCCTTCAGACGCCAGTGGGACTCCCTCCGAAGTTCCCGCTTGGGATGGAGCACCAATGCTGCATTCACCAGCCCGTGGGCCTTCCTCCGAAGTCTCTGCTTGGGAAGGAGCATCAGTGCTGCCTTCGGCCGCCAGCGGGCCTTCCTCCGAAGTTCCCGCTTGGGAAGGAGCATTAATGCTGCCTTCACCAGCCCGCGGGTCTTCCTCCGAAGTTTCCGCTTGGGAACGAACCTCAATGCTGCCTTCAGCCGGCCGTAGGTTGATTCCATTTTCTATTTTGCTGTCGGCAATTCCAGCGCCGGTCTCGCTAGACTTGTCATCATCTTTGGCGCCCGAGCCTGTGCAGTTAGCGATGCTTGATGCGCGCGACGTGCCAGAACCCCTGGCTGGAGCCTCTTCACTGCTGTTCTCATCAGAAGTTGCCCCAGCAGAAAGTGTTGTCGAGCCCTCATCGTCAGAGATATCGATCACACCCTTAGCTACGGAGTTACCTTTCATAGATTTTGTTGAATGTCCCCAAGCTTCTTCAAGGTCTTTGACTTCTTCAATCTTTCTTCTGCAGGTTATGTCGCGTTTTAAACTCTTCTCCCCGGGATGATTAATTTCTTCAGCCGTCACATTTTCTGAAGAAGCTTTGCCATTTCTCTCGATGACTTTTTCGTTCAAGGTTTCTCGTTCTCCTGCATCATCGGGATCCCTTGCGTCCCTTTCACTTGATCGCCTTGGACACTCTTCAGCAGTTTCACTATTCTTTACATGCTCTTCGCTGCCTAAGTTGCAAGGTTCTTCTTGGTTTGAATTCTGTATTGTGGTCGACAACCCAGCACTGCCTGGAGGTAGGTTTCCTACTAAAGGTTTAGAAACAAGATCCATATGAGATGAGGTAAGCATTTCCGAGTCTTCTTCGATGCTGGTCTGGCATGTAGAAAGTTTTTCAACGGTCGAGGGCGCGTCCAGGTTCTCAACATCATCAGATGACTTTATCAACAATGGCACTCCACTGTACGGTCTCAAACAATCTACGTCCACGACGACCCGTGATGCCTGTCTTGTGGGGACTTCAACCGTACCGCTGGAGGGGTTAGGAACAGAGCCACCAACTGGAATGGAATCTTTGGGATTCAGGTCATGACTATTCATGTCGGCTGAATGGTCATGACCACCATCAGGTAGAGGGCTAGGTTCTCCAGCAGAAGAAATACCCATTGAGAGCATGTCCCCATTCCTCACAATGTCCTCGTCTGAGACGTAGACGATTGTTTGGGGGACGTTCGAAGTGCTGTTGGGGTTGAGGGCCTCCCACGGGGAGCGTTCGTATGGGAAGAAGAGAAAAGACAAGGCCGTGTCCTGGGGAAGACCAAGAAGAGAATGGGGGAAGAAGTCATCAGGGTCACAACAAATCCCAAAGAGCTCCACGAAGTCTTGCACGCTCATGGGAGGCTTGCCGATGAACGGATTAAATGCAAGGTCAAGGAACATAGCGAAGTTTTCAGCCTCATATCGAACTGAGTCACGTCGCTGGAGTGCCTCTAGAGGAGTAGTTTTCGAACGGATCAGGCAGTTGAGGTTTTTTTCCAACTGCCAAACTTCGTGGGGATTGGCGAGCCTCCAGAAGGGCAAGAGTGTCTCGTGGAGGGAGAATTGAGAGTCACCTTCCCAGGGCAATGCTCGAGGATTATTTTTTATAGTCCTCATGACATAACGCAAATCCCGCACCAACTGCAGCAGCTGGCGCACCTGCAGCAGGAAAAGTTCTCGGTACTCTGGGTCCTGGAATACCGCCACCAGATTTTGGTTCCAGGAGGTGATGTCGCTAGCGCTGAACGGCGGATCATCCACTGGCTGCTCTTCCCCCAGCAGGTAGGCCCTGAGGAACTGCTCCTGACGATGCACGTAGCAACGCAGCAGCTGCCGAGCTTTCTGCGCCTTCAGGGCAAGTTTCTCACGAGTCTCCTCCTCAGACTTGCGACGTTTGTCTGCACACAAAATTATCTTGTGAACAAACTATATACAGCTTGACTTTATCAGTATATACTCAACTATTAAATATTTTTTATTTATATTTAAATAAATGATAGGTCGATGAAGCAGTTGGTCGTTAATATTTGGTAGTGTCACGCATAGAACCCATCTAACTAACCTAGAAATTTTCTAGCACCGACAACACGAACTTTAAGAACATTTTTGTTCAGGGTCACTATCTTAGAACCAATCAATGTCAAGATAATAGTGATAACATCACGATAATATCTTACCATCACAACCCTCGTGGCCACTTACCATCACGACCCTCATCATCATGCCCTCTCAGCATAACCTATTGCGGTACTACTACTAACCCAGCAGGTTCCTACCACAATGACTGCAGTAGGTACGTCTTATGACTAACCCAAGACGCATCTGCCGTTGACTCAATGACATCCTTCCTCCCACTGACACAGCAAGCTCCTACTCCTTACTGTTCAAACAAGATCCTACGATGCCCCTGTAGGCACTCAGAGCGCAGGTAACTATAACTATGTAACTATAACAATATCTCTATTTGTATATAACTATAAGCTCCTGCCACAGCTATTCAATAAGGAGGTCCTGATCATAAAGTTCTCGTATGGAAAGTCCTATATTTTAACAGTTCCCCCACCTGAGATTCCTAAACACAAAGAGAAACACTTTACATTCTATACATACTCCAACCACAGCTGCTCAATAAGGAGGTCCTTATCATAAAGTTCTCGTACAAAATATCCTATATTATAACAGTTCCTTCGGATTCTTAAACACAAAGCTAGCCACTTTATATTCTATACAAACTCCCTAGATCGCATACATATACCTGGCATCTTACGAATAGCATATGGAATTTTTTCAGAGATGACATACGATATCCTTTGCAAATACCTTTAAAATGAGCACAAACTCGTTTATGAAATGTTTCATAGTAAAAATTTATTGAAGAAAAACGCTATAAACATTCCCTTATTACCCAGTTTGACGGTACCCGATCTATCGCCACACGCCACATATAGCACAATAAAATAAACACACATATAATATAAACATTATAACACATGACACTTAAAATCACTTGTTTGCTTGAATCGCAAGCAACTTTTTTGTTTGCCCTACTTTACTAATTAATTGTATTTGTGTTTCTAGGACTGAACTTCTTCTGAACAGAATTTTGTGTTATGAACTGACGATGGAGCTGGACACCGAAACGTTTTCTCTTATAAAAATATGGTTAATTTTTGTGCTATTGTCTTTGCTTTTAAATTCCTGGTTAACAAATAACACACACATAATAAACACAAGAACATACCGCTGTGTAGGGCGTTGGAGGCGCGCGTGTAGGAGGTGATGCCGAGCTTGTGTGTCTGGCACAGCAGCTTGTACAGCGCCAGACCCTCCCCCAGCCGCCGTACTCGCACTACAGGCACAGCTGTAAGGGGCAGTACATATCAGAGGGGTCTATATCACATCAGAGGGGTCTATATCACATCAGAGGGGTCTGACACAGCAGCTTATACAGCGCCAGACCCTCCCCCAGCCGCCGCACTCGCACTACAGGCACAGCTGTAGGGGGCAGTACATATCAGAGGGGTCTATATCACATCAGAGGGGTCTAGTACACATCAGAGGGGTCTATACTATTATTATATTTATTTTTTAATCGTTCAGCATTCATTTTGTAGAGGCCAGGGGCCATTTTTTTGAAAGTATGGGCCCAGGTCAGACAAGAGGGGTGTATATCTTTTATTATAGTAATTGTTGAATTGTTCAGCATTCATTTTATAGAGGCCAGGTCAGACTAGAGGGTCGAATATCTATTATTATACCACTTAATTTTAATATTTATAATTGAATCGCTCAGTATTCATTCAGTAGTGGCCAGGACAGATTAAGAAGGGCGTTGGTGATCGTGACTATGACATCAGAGACTGTAACTGTTATTCTAACCACAATATTTCAAGCATTACACCTTCATTTCAAGTAATTAAAATCCGTTACACGCTTTCTCCAACAAAATACAGCTTCCCAATTTACGAAAATATATCCAACTCAACGAAAAAAAAAATATTATTATAAATCACCACAAATGGGGCCACAGAAACCAACCTGCAAGCTGCTCAAACGTCGTGTTCCGTCGCGGTTCTTTCGCGCCCGTCGCTACACGAGACAAAGTTCTCACCAACACCCACTCTACTTTCTGGACCGGGATGTCGTCCTGCTTCTTGGTAGGTCCTTCACCTTCAGGTGGTGTCTGGGACTCCAGTTTGTCTCCAGATTTGCTTCCGCCAGAGTTTTGCTCCACGTCAGAGAGCTCCAGTTTTTCGTCACAAAGTAACCCTTCCTCCTTAGAACCTCCTTCCTCCTTAGAACCTCCTTCCTCCTTAGAACCTCCTTTCTCCTTAGAACCTCCTTCCTCCTTAGAACCTCCTTTCTCCTGTCCAGAAAAGGACTCCTGTTCGTCACACACTTTCTTCTTTTTCTCGGCTGCAGCACCATTTACATGGGCATCATCCATTTCTTCAACCAACTTCCGTTTTGTGACTGAATTTCTCTCACTGTCGTCGTCCGAATTACCATCCTTCCATCGACTTGATTGCTGTCTCATGCCACTATTCATCAGATCCTGCTTCTCACCATTTTGCTTCTCCACATCTTTAACCTCATCATCGTGCTTCTCATCATCAGATTCAGTTTCAAGAGACACTTTTGCCGCACTCGCTGCAGAACCTCCGTTGTTCTGGTGCATACATTTGTCTTCATCAGCATCATCTTTACCGTCTTCGGAACAAGTGTCGTCGTCAGAGGAGTCAATACGAGTAGGACGTTTGGATCCTACACGCCCACTGGCACCACTAGCAAGATCCTTCAGCCGCTCCAGCCTAAGCCTGGTTGAACTATGAACCTGATCCCCGAACCCACAAAACTCATCATCAATTTCTGAATTCACAGAAAATTTCGCCTTTTTCGGTACGTTTGTCGAACCCAAGCTTGTATCAGAATTTCTCTTTGCAGATTTATTATCACATATCAATCTAGAATTTGTATTTTTCTCACAAGTTTCATCATTAGAATCACTACAGGGCTCAGCACCATCACAGTGCAAAGAGTTATTTGCTTCCAAATGCCGGTCCGGTCTTTTCTTGTGCTTGCCATTAGTCATCAACTTGTCGTCAACAGCCACCACGTCTCTTGCAGTAGGACGCGGGCCATCAATCACCACTCGTTTCTTGTTTCGATCCCCCACTTCATCATCGTCACCATCATCGCGCGTCACAATTCTGATGACCCACTCGTGCCCCAGAGGTGGCGGGTTCTCAAGCGGGACGGTCACTGTATCCACGACGAGGGAGGGTATATAAGAGCCATCTTCATCCTTGGCAGCCTCCAGTCGGCGCTGGTGTCGCGCCACGGCCTCTTCACGCTCCCGCTTCTGCTGTGCTGCCCGCACGCGCCGTTTCTCTGCTCTGTACTCCCGCAACCGCGAGGCCTGGGACTCGGAATGACCTACGAGGTCACCGCCTATAGCCGAAGGAGGTGACTTGGAGGACAAGTGACTTGTGCCGTGATTGCCATGACTAAACCCCAACGATGGAATGGATGCTGGTGGGACTAAACTTTGCTGGGGAGGAGACGTTGCCACTCCCTTGGGGGCTATGACGAGGTATGATGAGCCACCTGCGACCGACTGTGCTGGGGGTCTTGAAGAAGGTCCTGGCCTTCGGTAGAGTTGTTGGCGGTAGGCGACTTGTGGGAAGGTATTCGGTCTGAGACTTGCTTGAGAGACAGGGCGAAAATTCTGGTTTTGGTGCACCATCAGGTTTGAGACAAGCTGTCGAGGCACCACCACGTTTGGGACAACGCTTTGAGGAACTATAACGCTGGGAATAAGGTTTTGTGACACAACAACGTTGTGAACGCCGTGTTGTGACACAACAACGTTGGGAACGCCGTGTTGTGACACAACAACGTTGGGAACGCCGTGTTGTGACACAACAACGTTGGGAACGCCGTGTTGTGACACAACAACGTTCGGGATGCCGTTTTGTGACACAACAATGTTGGGAACACCATTTTGTGTAATCACCAAATTGGAACCAACGTTTCGTGGCGCAATGGGCTGTAATCGTGGAGTAATCAATAAGCTGCCACCAAGCCTGTTAAAACTAAGGCTTTGGGACACCACAACGTTACGACCTGGACCTCTAGGTGCGATGCTTTGTACTCTTGGGGCCATTACGTTGAGACATACACTGCGTGGTCCCAAGACATTAGAATTCAAACTCTGTGGCGCGATCATGTTGAATCTTGAACCTTGCGACGCACCGACGTTGAACCCAGCTCCTTGGAGAGTAAAAAGATTACCAGATAAATTCTGGGACACGGCTACGTTTGGGCCCGACCCCTGCGATTCAGAGGACACCACGACATTGGGAGAAGGTCCCCGGGTCTGGATGTGGAGCACATGGCGCACTGCGTCTGGGGGCTTGCCTAGGACGGCGAGCTGGAGGTATTGGGGCCTTGGCTGGGGACCCAACCCTGGGGCGGACCCGGGGCCCTGTAGGAAGGGTCGGGCAGGGATAACTCCAGCAGTAGGCGCTGCAGGGTTGGCAGTACCCATGGGGAGGAAGCGGTTCAAGGACAGGAAAGACGAGGCTCCTGTAGGGGGCAAATGAATTATCAACTAATTCAGTATGTGAATGCTTCATATAAATTTCTAACGTCATTGCAATTGCAAGGTTCAGTATGTGAATATTTATCAACTAGTTCAGTACGGTATGTGAATATATTTGTCATAATTTTCTAAGGTCATTGCAAGGAATATCACAGCAAAATATAAAACATCTCACTGCACACTATAAATTATTCACAGTAAGGTTCATTTTGTCATTCATTATGGAATATTTTGTTATGATATAGATTAAATGCAAGCCTGTACAGAAGCCATACATTTTAGAGATTGGACCACTCATTCAGCCATGTTGGACAACTCATTCAGCCATGTCGGACCACTCATCCAGCATGTTGGACCACTCATTCAGCCATGTTGGACCACTCATTCAGCCATGTTGCACCACTCATTCAGCCATGTTTGACCACTCATTCAGCCATGTTGTACCACTCATTCAGCCATGTTGGACCACTCATTCAGCCATGTTGGACCACTGATTCAGCCATGTTTGACCACTCATTCAGCCATGTTGGACCACTCATTCAGCCATGTTGGACCACTCATCCAGCCATGTTGGACCACTCATTCAGCCATGTTGGACCACTCATTCAGCCATGTTGGNGGGATACTTGTTAGTGCTGTGACATGGGATACTTGTTAGTGCTGTGACATGGGATACTTGTTAGTGCTGTGACATGGGATACTTGTTAGTGCTGTGACATGGGATACTTGTTAGTGCTGTGACATGGGATACTTGTTAGTGCTGTGACATGGGATACTTGTTAGTGCTGTGACATGGGATACTTGTTAGTGCTGTGACATGGGATACTTGTTAGTGCTGTGACATGGGATACTTGTTAGTGCTGTGACATGGGATACTTGTTAGTGCTGTGACATGGGATACTTGTTAGTGCTGTGACATGGGATACTTGTTAGTGCTGTGACATGGGATACTTGTTAGTGCTGTGACATGGGATACTTGTTAGTGCTGTGACATGGGATACTTGTTAGTGCTGTGACATGGGATACTTGTTAGTGCTGTGACATGGGATACTTGTTAGTGCTGTGACATGGGATACTTGTTAGTGCTGTGACATGGGATACTTGTTAGTGCTGTGACATGGGATACTTGTTAGTGCTGTGACATGGGATACTTGTTAGTGCTGTGACATGGGATACTTGTTAGTGCTGTGACATGGGATACTTGTTAGTGCTGTGACATGGGATACTTGTTAGTGCTGTGACATGGGATACTTGTTAGTGCTGTGACATGGGATACTTGTTAGTGCTGTGACATGGGATACTTGTTAGTGCTGTGACATGGGATACTTGTTAGTGCTGTGACATGGGATACTTGTTAGTGCTGTGACATGGGATACTTGTTAGTGCTGTGACATGGGATACTTGTTAGTGCTGTGACATGGGATACTTGTTAGTGCTGTGACATGGGATACTTGTTAGTGCTGTGACATGGGATACTTGTTAGTGCTGTGACATGGGATACTTGTTAGTGCTGTGACATGGGATACTTGTTAGTGCTGTGACATGGGATACTTGTTAGTGCTGTGACATGGGATACTTGTTAGTGCTGTGACATGGGATACTTGTTAGTGCTGTGACATGGGATACTTGTTAGTGCTGTGACATGGGATACTTGTTAGTGCTGTGACATGGGATACTTGTTAGTGCTGTGACATGGGATACTTGTTAGTGCTGTGACATGGGATACTTGTTAGTGCTGTGACATGGGATACTTGTTAGTGCTGTGACATGGGATACTTGTTAGTGCTGTGACATGGGATACTTGTTAGTGCTGTGACATGGGATACTTGTTAGTGCTGTGACATGGGATACTTGTTAGTGCTGTGACATGGGATACTTGTTAGTGCTGTGACATGGGATACTTGTTAGTGCTGTGACATGGGATACTTGTTAGTGCTGTGACATGGGATACTTGTTAGTGCTGTGACATGGGATACTTGTTAGTGCTGTGACATGGGATACTTGTTAGTGCTGTGACATGGGATACTTGTTAGTGCTGTGACATGGGATACTTGTTAGTGCTGTGACATGGGATACTTGTTAGTGCTGTTACTGTAGCACTCGTTAGTGTAACACTTCTTAGTGCTGATACTATAGGACTGCGCTACTGTAACACCATAACTGTAACACTCGTTAGTTACTGTAACACTTGTTACAGTTACCGTAACACTCGTTACAGGTACTGTAACACTCGTTACAGTAACTGAGTTACTGTAACAGTCTTTACACTTACTGTAACAGTCTTTACACTTACTGTAACAGTCGTTATAGTTACTGTAACAACATAACTGTAACACTGCAACTTTAACACTCATTACAGTTATCAGCGTACAGTAAGGACCTGACAGTTATCCAGGTCCCTCATCACGCTGCTATTGGACGTGAAGGTCCGTTGTACGGCCGGCCTCCAATTGCCACACTGTTAGGGGCACTCCTAACCTTCTAGCTCTAAAGGCCCAGTACGACCAATATAGTATTGGCTTTTACCTCATGGATAAAAGCCAATAGTATTAATATCACTGTTACTACTACAAAAGCCAATAGTCGCGGTCGGCATGAGTAACGTCCAAAGCTAGCAGCAGTACTCTTTTGGCCAACCTACCCTACATAACACCACCACCACCAGCCTAACACCCCACCACCACCATAACACCACCCCACCACGCACGTTCAGTGCAGAGGCTGACAGCGTCGCGGGTACCATAGCACCACCACCAACCCACCACCACCAGCAGCCCACCACGCACGTTCAGTGCAGAGGCTGACAGCGTCGCGGGTACCATAGCACCACCACCAACCCACCACCACCAGCAGCCCACCACGCACGTTCAGTGCAGAGGCTGACAGCGTCGCGGGTACCACAGCACCACCACCAACCCACCACCACCAGCAGCCCACCACGCACGTTCAGTGCAGAGGCTGACAGCGTCGCGGGTACCACAGCACCACCACCAACCCACCACCACCAGCAGCCCACCACGCACGTTCAGTGCAGAGGCTGACAGCGTCGCGGGTACCACAGCACCACCACCAACCCACCACCACCAGCAGCCCACCACGCACGTTCAGTGCAGAGGCTGACAGCGTCGCGGGTACCATAGCACCACCACCAACCCACCACCACCAGCAGCCCACCACGCACGTTCAGTGCAGAGGCTGACAGCGTCGCGGGTACCACAGCACCACCACCAACCCACCACCACCAGCAGCCCACCACGCACGTTCAGTGCAGAGGCTGACAGCGTCGCGGGTACCACAGCACCACCACCAACCCACCACCACCAGCAGCCCACCACGCACGTTCAGTGCAGAGGCTGACAGCGTCGCGGGTACCACAGCACCACCACCAACCCACCACCACCAGCAGCCCACCACGCACGTTCAGTGCAGAGGCTGACAGCGTCGCGGGTACCATAGCACCACCACCAACCCACCACCACCAGCAGCCCACCACGCACGTTCAGTGCAGAGGCTGACAGCGTCGCGGGTACCACAGCACCACCACCAACCCACCACCACCAGCAGCCCACCACGCACGTTCAGTGCAGAGGCTGACAGCGTCGCGGGTACCACAGCACCACCACCAACCCACCACCACCAGCAGCCCACCACGCACGTTCAGTGCAGAGGCTGACAGCGTCGCGGGTACCACAGCACCACCACCAACCCACCACCACCAGCAGCCCACCNTTAGGAGAGAGAGAGGTTAGGGTGAGAGGAGTTAGGGTGAGAGGGGTTAGGGTGAGAGGGGTTAGGGTGAGAGGGGTTATGGGAGAGAGGGGTTAGGTAGGGGAGAGAGGGATTAGGGGAGGGGTTAGATGGGAGGAGTTAGGGGTGGTAGGGGTTAGAAATTAACTAGTTTATGGCCCATGCCTCATTCATTCAACTCCATGTAACTAATGCCTCATTCATTCAGGTTCGTGTGGCTTCATTATACCTCATTCATCCTTTATTAAGAAAATGAAACGCATGCAAAATCATATCCAATGTAGGCAGAACTGGTAATGACTGTCATCACTTCACAACTTGGATTTTAATTGAACATTTTATTGTATATCCAAGCTCTTCATTTCTTAATGAATGTCATCACTTCACAACTTGGATTTTAATTGAGTCTATTATTATATATCCTCACCGAATCATCCAAGTGTGCGGCCTTCTTCAGACTCTTCTTCTGTGCTTGACCACCGCCCCCGGAGGTGCTGCTTGCCCCCCAGTGGCTGAAGGGGGACCGGCTGGCGGGGGAGCGGCTAATGGCGCTGCTGCTGGTGGTGGTTGTGGTGGTGGTACGGGTGCTGGTGGTTGGCGGTTTAACCTGCAAGACAAAGATACAAATAATAAAATAATATTAAATAGGCAATAATCTACTTAATCTAAGTAATAAGTAATAATCTAATCTAAGTAATCTAAATATAATATTAAATAAAGGACAGGAATATTATGAGAATACGGAAACATTGTTTGGATGTATTGAATGTATGGATTCAATAAGTTTTTGATGTTAACTCTTGTGAAGCAAGAATCATGGTCAGGTTAATGGACAACAGGCCTATTGAAAAAAGCCCAACAATATCTATCAAAAGATTGTTCAACAATAAGACTGTTGATCAACAAAATATTGTTGATCAATAATATCTATCAAAAAGAGCATGATTGTACATAACTATCTCAACAAATATCTGTATTTACCCACTCAATGTTAGCAGAACGAATACAAAATCCCAGAACTATTGAAAACAACCCAACCCTAAACAAAACAAATAAAAGAACAAATAAAAAGAACCCAACCCTAAACAAAACAAATAAAAGAACAAATAAAAACATATATAAGAACAAATAAAAAAACCCAACCCTAAACCGAACAAATAAAAACAAATAATAGCAACCCAACCCTAAACCCCTCAAAAAATTAAAACTAAAACAATATGATGGCAGCTGTTATTGACCCAGTTGACGGTGGTAGGCCGAGTGTTGGCAAGCCGCAGGGGGCCAAAGAGACGGGGCCGGGGGCGCCTTGAGACGGGGCCCTGGGAGGGTCCCGGCTGCTGCAACAGGCCCTGCAGCTGGGACGGGTCCCGGGGCGCCTGATAAGCTCTCAGGGGCTGCTGATAAGAGCCTGCTGATATCAGCAGGTCGCGTAGTAGAGCGTCAGCACTGTCTGCTGCACCTGCTGATATATATATATATAGGGTGGTGACGGGTGGTGTAGGGTGGTGAGTGTTGTGTTGTGTGGTGGTGTAGGGTGGTGCGGTGAGAGTGTAGGGCCTGCAATAATCCACCCCCCCAAATTTTTCTTATAAGAGAAATGTGTCCATGTTATACTACATCTGTACAATGTTTCAATACATTCATACTTATACCAACATTATCAAATAATTCATATTAAACAATACACAAGTCAATAGAATAGATTAAAACTTCTCAATTGTTATTATTCTAATTAATTATATGAGAGATGACAATGATAGGCACTAACTTGGGACCTCAACAGGCGAGTCGTCGTCAATGTTGATGGGCGGAGCGGGGACTGGGGCCTCGAGATTGATTGAGGGGTCGATCAGGGAGCTGAGGGGTTTAAGCCTGAACGAGGGAGCTTTTGGACCCTTAGGAGACGGGTTCAGGGTCTCAGATGGAGGGTTCAGGGTCTCAGAAGAAGGCTTTAGGGTCTCAGAAGAAGGGTTCAGAGTCTGTGAAGGGTTCAGGGTCTCAGAAGAAGGGTTCAGAGTCTCAGAAGTAGGATTCGGGGTCGCAGAAGTAGGATTCAGGGTCACAGAAGGGCTCAGGGTCTCAGAAGAAGGGTTCAGGGTCTCAGAAGTAGGATTCAGGGTCGCAGAAGGGCTCAGGATCTCAGAAGAAGGGTTCAGGGTCTCAGAAGAAGGGTTCATGGTCTCAGAAGAAGGGTTCAGGGACTCAGAAGAGGTTTTTATTGTCTCAGAGGATTTCAAATTCTCAGAAATAGGCTTCACAGTTTTAGAATAAGGACCTGGAATAGCAACATTTGACCCTGATGGCAGGGTGCTGCCAAGTGCACGTTTCTGCTGCCCAAGATACGGGTTAAGATCTGCAGGAGTGTTTATAACGCCTCTAGGCTTCAACACTACACGTGGAGGTTGACTTTTCTCTGGTGGATCAAGAATTTCAATTTCATCATCGGACACCACGACAACAGGATGCAGAACTTTTTGCCGGCTCTTCTGAATGATTTTCTTGCATTGTTCTGGCGTGAGGAATTTCAGTGCCACCACGGGCGTCATCTTTAACTTGGCATCACGAACTGGGTGCCGGCTGAAATAGCTGACCATGATGTTGCGTGCGATGATGGCTGCATACTTCTGCGTGATGCATCCGATGCTGGTGCGCCGGCCACTCACGTACACGGTCACATTTACACTCCCGGAGCCAGAGGATTGTGAGTGCCTCTGCATTATTTGCAAGGGTGATGTCTCATCTGTGGCAGCATCTAGAACAATAAGGAACAAATGGAATGATGAGGCTGAATGAAGATTTAACAGGAGTTTGCTACTGGATCTACAATAAAATATAAAGATCACTCTGCATCAAATCAAGAAAAAATAGAAGCAACCAAGTAGCATGAATCAAATGCTCCAAAACGTTGTCTCTTATAAGAAATGGTGAACTTTTAGGCTATTTTCTTTACTTTTAAATTCCTGGTCAAATGCTACAGACTTACTTATTTCTACAAAATCCAGCACTAACAAGATGGTAGAGACATATCATGAAGAAGGCTTTGTGGTGTGGTTGCTCAGAATGCATGCTAACCTATCAAAGAACTGCACAATGTAATGTTTGTCCACTTTCATAAGCAACCTTTGGCCAGTAAACTTCATGTATGTAAGCCACATGCTGTATGAACAAGCATTTAAAAACAATTAAATTATGAAAGAAAGTAATAATTAGGAAAGAATAAGGAAAATAATTAATTAAATATTAAATTTATTGAAATTGCAGTTACATTTTAATTTTAATTCTCACTACATAAAGTCAAAATGAGTTAACTATGCATAAATAAGATGAAATAAATAAGATAAAAGGTAATAATCGAAGCTTGAACTGCCATCACCTTCTGATGCTGGGAGAACATCATGACTCTCCTGCTGCTGGGACTCATGCAGGAGATGTTCTTTGCTCTTCTGCACGCTGAGTCTTGCCCTGTACAGCTCCAGCAGCCGCTGCTCGTGCAGACTGAGTTTCTTCACTTCCTGCAGCACAGGCTCGGAGCTTGACGGCTTCTGATGCAGCTGCTGTTCTATGTACAGCCCCATAGAGGGAGCTGAGGTGTTAGTGTTTGCTGGTCCAATATCTTCATTTGGGATCTCATTGTCCACAGTGTGCAAAGTATTTGTTGTTTCTTTCAGAGAATCTGAGTTGTCAATTCTTTTGGCTAGGATTTTACTGTTAGCAACATGGATATTAGAAGGACCAGGATTTGATGAATTGAAAATGTGTGTTCCAATTTTCTGGTTGTTTAACACCACAGGGCTTGACGTCTTTGGTGGTGAACTATCATCACCATGGGAAAGCTTGCGCTGCTTTGATAATGGACCGTACTGGTATGTCCTACTGCGCTTCCTTTGTGTCACGTCAATAGGAATCTCCATAGCATTAGTTGTTCGTGTGCTGCTTGGGGCTCTGAACACAGTATATCCGTTGACACTAGAGTTAAGAGGCGCACTAATTCCTTCATGAGGGAATGTACACTTGGAGCGCAGGAGTGACGTAAGTTTGCTATTCAACAAATCCTCATTGGAGGTCAACTGTTGGCACAGAGGCTTGTCCTGAACACTCATGGAACATGGAGACACTGAATGAACATCCCCTAGGTGAACTGCCAGTTGATTTGATGACAATATAGACCAGTTCTTCTGCTTACAGAAGGTGCAGTGCAAATGAGGTGCTTGGTCCTGAACATTTATTGAAGGCTTGCAACCACAGGTTACAAAGTACAATCCTGCCACTGACAGAGCCTCAGGCCAGTGTGTTTTTTCAAAGTGGTCTTTAAGAAGCTTCTTTGTTTTCAGGTCTAAGTTGCACACTTCACACCGAGCTGAACCCTGCTGGTCTAGAACTTTTAAGAACTCTGCTAGACTTTTGTTGGCAGCATGTTTGAGTTGCGGCTGCAGCAGTTCATTGGTCATTGTTTCCTTATTTTGTTACAATTTAATAACAAGAAAGAGCAATTAACTGGTTTGAGTCTTCTAATTATGTATTTAATTACAGAATAAATCATTAATAAATTCAACATTTATTCTACTCACAGCACCAGTAACCTGGTGGGCTTGAACAGTCATATATAATGAACCTGGAATATAGGAAATGATATCATTCCTGGAACAAAATAATATTATATATATAGTAGTTAAAACATATAATATTAATAAATATCTGGCTTTCAAAATTTCACATATTTTACATTATTTAATTGATATATTATGTGGCTTTCAAAATTTCACATATTTTACATTACTTAATTGATATACCGGTATTATGTGGCTTTCAAAAATTCACATATTTTACATTATTTAATTGATATATTATGTGGCTTTCAAAATTTAACATATTACACATAAAATATTGGACAAAGAAAAATCTTTGGATGGAATGTGTAGTAGATGATTGGTAACATCTACTAATGTCTATATTGAAAGTAGATATCATTAGGTCAGGTCATTCAGGTCACCAGGTCAACTGACATGGAGTCACCTTGGAATAAATATATATATATTATATGCTATGTACTTTCCATCTGCCATCTGGCATGGAATATATCTACTTGGTGAGCCATGACTGGATTTTTTGAGCAGTGGTATTTTGGGTTTGCCAGCCATGATTCCATTTCTTTGAGCTGCAATTCCATTCAATCCATTGTAGAAAGAGACAAAATACTCATTTTTATGGTCAATTTCACTAGTTCTTTATGGCCCTAGGCCCCTAGCAGCCTAGCCTACTTTCTTCTTCAGTAAAGTAAGAAAAATTTCATAATTCTGCCTATGATTTTCAAAAATTGACAATATAAAATGATCAATATCAGGAATTCTACAAAAATTATGCTTTATGTTATACGTACATTGTTCCAATTTAAGAGCCACAACTATAGCTTTCCTGCAGCTAGTCTGGAGAAGTCCTATTTTTGTCTGAAATATCGCGGCTCTAATATCATATAATTTCAGTAGGTATGAAATCTCGCGGCTCGAATGTCATAAATTTTTTGTCCTGCAGGCTGCAATTTCTGGAGCTGCACAATTCCTGCTAGATTAATAATTTCCCAATCCCAAATAGTTATTAGATAAATTGCATAATAAGATAGGACATAGGAGATTGCAAAATTATTCAAATTAGGCTATGTCACTTTTGTGCCACAATATTTTGGTATTAGCTAAGTAGGAAATTTTCTATCTTGGGACAGGTTGGCTAGACTGAAATGAAAAATCAACCACTGAAGTGCTGCAGCTGTGCAGCTGAACCACAGAACCAGTGTCTGTGTCTGCCTAGGCTAGGGTATGGAGAATACCAAATTTTTCCAGCAGAGACCAAGGCTCAAGGCATCAAGACTAGAGGGTAGAGGCTTCAGGCTAGACCGCTAATGCTTAGTTAGCTCCTAGTTCAATGGTGTACATATGTAAAACTGGTAAAAACATATAACTGGGAATTGGGATTAGTGGATCACTGGATCTTGATGAGATTAGTATAGTAGTAAATCTTGAAGTAGCCTAGATCAGAAAATTAGAAATAAACTAGTTTCTAAAACTAAAAGCTCTCTCATTTGTCATGTTAAACAGCCTCAAACAGGCAGCAGAGCAATACAATTAAAATTACTACAAATACAAATTTCAATACATTTATCGCTTTCATTAAATAATATAACTCCTGTTAAACCTAAAATTATTGGATGCTCGAAAAATTGCTAAGTTACCCTAGCAGGCTGGCAGTCTAAATTTTGGCTCACATATGATAAGGAAGGTTGTCACCTTGTCAGTCTTGGTCTAACTCGTTGCTTTCCAGGTTTAAAGTTCAACAATTTTGCATAAATGTGCAGTTTAAAGTATCATTCAACATTAATTTAACCAATTTGAATATTATTTTTGGAGGAATCGGCCACTAGTAGTCTAGTAGCTAGTCTCGGCTAACCCGACACCAACACGAAAAACATGCCTTGCCAGCACACTCGCGGCAGGAACACTCCGCAAACCCAAGGTGCTGCGAGTCTATACTTGAAAACACGAGTTTTCGCGCCCAAACCTAATTAAGTGTTCAGAGTGAGGCCACATGATCATTATTTTCAATTTTGTCAATTAGTTACGCATTTATCTTTAGGATTTGTAAGTTGTTCTCAAATATTATTCAATTTCGCTATTATGAAAATATTATCGTGGTTGATGACGTCAACACGTAAACGATCACGTGATCGTTCTAGCCGCTGATTGGTGGACAGAAATTGACGCTGGAGTAGCCACCAATCGCGACCTGCCGCGCACGAGCGCGTACAAAATGGTAGCGTTACTGCAAAGCAGAGCAGATTAAGAAACACGTCTGGCATCCAAGTGTTCGCAAATCGCCCTCATTAGGCCTAACTCTCCGTTTTTTGCGTAAAAGCGTGCAAAAAACGTAAATAATCGACCATTCACTCAGGCACATTGTGCCTAATTAAAATTTGCTAGGGTTTTACAATGCTGCAGAGTATTTTCCAATTATATATAAAAAAAAATTGACTAAAAGGTGAGTTTTTCTCTTGGAAATGACAACTTTATAACAATTGCACACGTTTTTTGTCTTTTTATTACACATTTACATTAAAAATCAGGATAAAGTTGATTTCACACTCTTTTCATTCTCATCGGTTCAACTTTCAGCTATATTTATGCATACATTCACTAGTTTGAGGCTTCGTTATGCTAATGGCGTCTGTTTGGCTAACTAATTTCAACAATGAAATAACGAAACTTAAAATTTCGTAACAATTTTCTCTGCTCGGGGAATTGACAATTTGGCACGCAGTTAAAAAGCAGATTCGCATTACCATTGCATCAACCCTTAAAATGAAATTTTTACATATTTAGTAAAACTCATATTTTTTCTTTAGAGCTAAATAGGTATTTTACGTACAGCACGTTAGTCATTTCAACAAATGACAGATACCCCTACTCTCATACCACATATAAATTATGACCTTGAGAATGTTCTAGAACAAAAGCACACGTGCTCGCTGCCGCGCTAGTTCCTCGCCAAGATGCCGGCATGCGCAAACTACCGACTGTGCCGACGCTGCGTGATGTCTCGTCTTGAAGCCGCTTGGATAACTCACAGTGATGACGACGGATGAGCTCACTGTACTCCCAGGCTCAAATTAAAAGTTGACAGGAGGAGAGACTAAAAGGAGGTAAAAATGTACACAGCGTGTCTACAGATAGTTTTAATTGCAACAGTTTTAACACTAATAGTGTTCCTATTTTAAGGTGTTTTTACACAAATGCTGACTCATTGATTAATAAAAGAAGTGAACTTTTAGCCACAATAAAAAGCGAGAGTTTGGATGTGATATGTGTGACAGAAGTTTTACCCAAGAATCCTGTTGCAGAAATTCAGCCAGTTGAACTGTCTATTGAGGGTTTTGACTGTTTTACTAATTTACAAACAGCACAGTGTCACAGGGGAGTTGCGGTGTGGGTCAGGAAGTCATTTCGTGCTCAACTTTTTAATTTGAATTTAGGTTTGGACAAGGCAAGGGAATCAGTGTGGTGTGAGATACCACTTCAAAAGAAGGATAAGTCATTGAGAGTGTGTTACGTAGAGCAACCAGAGTAATACCAGGTTTAAAAAATCTTGAGTATGAAAGAAGACTTGAGCGGATGAAAATACCGAGTATGACGTACAGAAGAGTGAGAGGTGATATGATCGAGTGTTACAAGTACACGCACAATGTTTATAAATTGGACAACAGTATACTAAAACTGAAAAAGAATACGAACACCAGAGGTCACCATTACAAACTGGAGAAGCAGCGTTGCAATACGAGTCTTCGTCAAAGGTTTTTCACCCAGCGTGTGGTGGAGAGGTGGAACAGACTGCCAGCACAGGTGGTAGAGGCTCCCAGCGTCGATGCCTTTAAGAACAGACTGGACAGTGTTATGCGGGACCTTGTCTACAGTGTAGACGAGCTTCCCACCTTTATTAGAGCTGATCAAAGGATCAGCAGTCAATATGGACCAAGAAACGAGTACCAGGCACAACAGAATCGGCAACAGGCTGTGGAAGCCTAACATCTGATGCCGAGATTGCTATGCTATGCTAAAACGTACACTATCTCCGTTGGACCGACGTTGGGGAGGCTAAGAGACTATAGTTTTTTTGGCGTTTAATATTGGGTAGGTAAGATCTACTATATCAGGGGTGTATGCCATAGGCCAGCAAAGCAAACTTTACACTTCAGTTCATATTTTTTCCGTCAAAAAGAATGCTAGAGGGAGTAGTAGGCCTTGAAGCCAGAAGAGACGCAAATCGCCAGCCACTGAATAAACTTGACCCACTTCTTAGAATTTAACGCTACATGACCCTACCTGCTCACCTATCTCGATTTACCACCACTGCACCGAACCCAGCCTCATTGGCCGCGAAAACATTGAAAGGCAGGACAACATGAGGTAAAATCGCTAATTGGGTAAAATAAGGTGACAAGTTGGGGTAAGAGCATGCGGAGGTATACGAACATATTCTAGAAGTGGGACATGTTACATTTTTCGTAATGAAGCGGGGCATGAAGGTTTCCACTCCAGTGCTGTGCTGGTGAGGTTTACGACGATCCTTGCGACAATTTCCAGAATGTTCTAGAACGACATCAGTAGGGAGTGCGTTCTGCAACAATCAAGACGCCCGTGGCGAGGAATGGCCAACGAACTCGGCAACTCCAAAAGCGGCAAGCTTAACATGGGGAGCGCAGCCGTGCACCACCAATTTTGTGCACCAATAAGCCCTGAATCGAACGCCTTGGATCTCTCCGGATCTCCACCAATCAGCCGTGCACCACTCGGCTTTGTCCTCCTCCGGCCTCGACCACCACCTGCAGTGCACCACCAGGCCGCGGATCGAATCTGACTTCCGGGCATCGTTAAATTACGTAATTTTACGTTCACCGCATCTGAGATTAGGTTTCAGATAGCATAGTTCTGTTCCAAAATATATCGTCCTTCGACAAGTGACCGACCGAGGGCTGGTTTGACCCACGGCCTAGATACGGACTGCTTGAAGTGTTGAAGGCTACGTTCCGGAAGGCAGGAATCATGATGGTCCATTACATCCAGGGCAGTTGTGGTCTTCGGCAGGCGACCCCTTAACATGGACACCCCGACCCGGCGACCAAGCAACGGACAACCCACATTTCCGGACATCTCAATCGCCTCGGACACCCTGATCTCACACATGGCCCCATGGGCTGGACCACCGCCACAGCTCTTGCCTCCGACCACCTACCAAAACACGTCACCTTGCAAGGTGACTACGACAATATGCCAACCCCTCCAAAATCACCCTCACGAACTTTGCCAAAGTTGACTGGAAAAAATTCACCCTCGAAACCGAACAAGTCTTCCGCACAGCCGACCTCCCGCTTGACGTCACCGCAGCTGAAAAACTCTTTCGGCAAATAGTACTCAACGTAAGCAAATACAACGTTCCATCTGGCCATCACATCACCTCCAAACCCGGCTTGTCAAAAGAAATAACCAACCTCCTGCAACAACGAGACACGCTCCGCCCATCTTCCCAGGGTGCGCAGCCGTAGACCAGCAAATTAACGCTCAAATCAGCCCTGGAGCCAACATCAACCATCTAAATGCTATAGATATTGTCATCCTGGCACCTAAGCAGCTGTAGTCAATTGACCTATCTCACCACACGAACTTTAAACCAACACTGCTTTGCCATGGTGAGAGCATCTGTGCCGCTCCTGTAAAGTATCTTGGGTCACGTGAATCATGGCTTGTTTGAACGATAATGTTTCTAAGAGGAATCCAACAAAGTGGATTCCAGACGATATTCAATTATTCTTTGAAATATTCCAAAAATATGAATTAAAGTATAATGCTTTCCATGATGGTTACTCTAACAAAATGAAGAGAGAAACGAGTATTTTGAAACGGAAAGAAGACCTTATTAGTCAGGGTTTAGTTGTTCCCGACGCTGTATTTTTAAGGGCTAGAATATGGTGTATAAAAAAGACGTACAGACTCAAGTTGTTGAAGGTGATCACACTATCCATCTTCACAAACCTCACTCGACGGCTTCTAACGACTCACTGTCGGGCGCGAACGAGAAGATAGCGGCACCTTATACTCTCCTCGTGTGTACAGGCTTACTAGCCGGATAGTCACCAAGCAACCGACACTAGCCAGATTTACTAGCCGTCTGCACTATCCCCGTGTACAAGCACCTTATGGCGTAGGGAGTTGCTTACCGAAAATCGTGATTAGGTTAGACGGCATGGGATAGAGCTGTTGGACGGTTTTCAATACGGCGTTGAGCGATTATATTGGTGGCTTACTTCTCATTAGCTCGCTGGTTAATTTCCATGAAGGGGATTTGTACTATTGTCTTTTAACATGTAATCCCTTAGTCTACTCTGCCCTTTAGCAGGCTTACGCACGGAAAGGAGGATGAAAGATATGCTGGTCTTGGGCAATGCTGGCCTCTAGCATGCATCCCATACTCTTCACCAACACCACGCAAAATACCACCAACAAACTTGACTGGATCACGAAACGTTCAACCAAGTGACTCAACTTGACAGACTGCCCCACACAGGCCTCGTCCACAACGCTATAAAACACTCTCGTCCTTCCAAAGCCACCGGACCGAAAAAGCTTACAATCCTTCACCTCAGAACTCACGGAATTACCTACCTGACAAAACTATTCAACGAGTCGCTCAGAGCCTGCCGAATACCCGAAATCTACAACACCGCTAAACTGATCCCTCTACTCAAACCCGGTAAACCAGAAGATCAAGCCTCCTCGTACCGACAGATCTCTCTCCTCTGCCCAGCCGTCAAAGTTCTCGAAAAATAACTCCTGCCAATCATCAACGAACACCTTATACTCGCCGAACACCAACACAGTTTTAGACCCG